GTGAAATCAAAAGCGTAAAGGAAAATCGTGTACATGATAAAGAGAAAATAAATCAGATTTTTGTATGCCACTTCCTCATAAGAAGGAAATAGTGCCTTACGTACTTTCTTTTAGTTTAGCCAAAGCCCATTAGACCTTTTAATCTAATATAAGAAATTGGTGTTCAGAAAAAAAGCCCAGCACTAATGTTTTTTTTTTGGCCGCACGTAGTTTTGGCACAGCCATGTATCAATTTCAAGGTATCAAACCTAGAAGAGCATATTCGAAGGAGATTTGTCTGTTTGTTACTTCACGACAATCCTTCACAATTGCTTCCAGCGGATAAGACTTGGCCCTTGGTACATTTTTCTTCTGGTTTGGATGAACCATTTAAACTGCAGAAAAGTTCAAAAATGAGTAATAGCCAAAGAGAATTAAAATAATCAAGAGAAGTTTGTGTAAAAGATCATTTTAGTTATGGAACAACACACGAATAAAGCAAGAACGTACGGTTATGAGAGGCAAGCTTCTCTTTTATGTTTGGGACACTACAAAAGTAGATTTTTGTAACCAAGAGTGACTGCTAGCTATGTCTTACTTTATTTCATAGAATGTTTACTTTGTTTTGGAATTCGTAATCGTGATTATAGTTCATATAAAAAAGTTTTTTCCATATATAACTATATTTTATAATTCACACAGCTAGTAATACTGGTTGTAGACATTAATATATCTCTATAATATTATTTGAGAAGTCAGTTTCTTAGGTGTCGCGCTCACGTTAACTCTCACGTTGATTGATTACTATGATACCCCTAATGAATTAAAATTATATTTGAATATTATTATTTCTTTTTAAAAATCTTCCAAATAACAATATAAAATAAAAAGGAAATATTTATAAAATTTACAAAACTATTTAAAAAGGAAAAATAAGTATATATATAATATAGTTTCATAAAAATGGAAAGTTTACAAAATAGTAATATTTAACTTAAATATATTTTTAAATAACATAATTATACTTTTTAAGTAATAAAATACTTTATATCTATATCTTCTTAGATGAAGTCAGTTTCTTAGGTGTCGTGTTCACGTTAACTCTCACGCTGGTTGATTATTATGATACCCCTAATGAATTAAAATTATATTTGAATATTATTATTTCTTTTTAAAAATCTTCCAAATAACAATATAAAATAAAAAGGAAATATTTATAAAATTTACAAAACTATTTAAAAACGAAAAATAAGTATATATAATATAGTTTCATAAAAATGGAAAGTTTACAAAATAGTAATATTTAACTTAAATATATTTTTAAATAACATAAATTATACTTTTTAAGTAATAAAATACTTTATATCTATATCTTCTTAGATGAAAAAATATTCGTATATAATGTGTTTTCATAAAAAAAAAGTTCATACAAATAATCTTGATATTATAAAAAGAAATATTTTTTCTTTAAAAAAATAATTTTAACAATAAAATATATATATTTTCAAAGTAATTATTTTTTATATATCTATCTATTTTATTAGATGATTACATAAAATAATTAAGTAACATAAACTGATATATGTATAATTGACACAAAAAATTATAATTAGTATTATGGACATATTTTTTTAGTATATTTATTTGATTATAATATCTTACAATTACAGAAAAAATATAAATTATATTTTACTTATATAATACAATTCTCAAAAACAATCACATTTTTACTGCATATTTTAAGAGATGTTAAAAACAAAACTAAAAATAAATTTAATAATAAACATCTTTTGATCAAATAACTAAAATTCTTATAAAATATCATAACACTATAATTTAACGAGGTAGATATATTATATTTTAATAATTAAAATTATATGTTTTCTTAATAACTCCTTTGATGTTTAATTTTCTGTTTTTATGTTTGTGGAATTTAATATAACCATAATCAAAATACTTAAGCAAATCAGAAGTCCTTATTTTTAAAATTATTTAAAATAAATTTCAGTTTACCATACAATCAATCCAAGGCATAAATTATTTAGACTTTATAAAATATTTTAATTATTGTAAATATTGATATGTGTTCATAAGCTTCCAAAATTTTATTATTACTTATGTATGTAATTTAGAATCAGACACTTTAGTTTTTATTTTTTTCGTTTTAAGCACAAAAAATCTTAAAATACATAATATTACTAAGATATACTTATATTTCTAAGATAACAACCAACATAAATGTAAATAAAATAATTAATCAAAAATTAGAATAAAAAAGATTACAGTTGAATTCAGAGAAATAGTAAAATCCAGTATATATATATATATATCCAAATGATAAAACTGACTAAATATAATATATCTAAAATTATATATAACTAAAATAATATAATATTATAAATATAAATTATACATATAAAATATAAATTAATATAAAATTTAATGTAAATATCAATCAACTATTATAATATATTTATTTTATAAACGTTTATATCCGTGCATGAGCACGGAAAATTCACCTAGTTACTAAGTAATAGTAGGGTTTTTAGCATAATAAAGTGTACAATACCATAATAAAGTGTGTACAATACCAAATTTGATATTGTACCAAATTTTTGTACAATAGCAAATTTTATGTTTACACCACCTGTATTTTTTTAAAATTTTGGTATGATAATAGAACTGGTCGTTTATTAATTCATTTAGGTAGATCGCTTACTTAAATTTAAGGTGATTTGATTTCTACTCAGAATGTAGATGATTTCAAAGAATTAAAAAAAATTAATATTTAAATATTTTTTATGAAAACATCATAGAAAATCATCTAAATTCATGAAATCTTAGTTTTGATTCTTTTAACTAAGAAATTTCATCTAAACACTATAAAATCATTTTAAAACTTTAAAATTTCATGACATAATATAATTTTTAATAACATTTGATTTTAAAATATTTTATGAAACATCAAGTTCAATAATAATAGATTTTAAATGAATTTTCAAAATTTATATTTGAATAACCAAAATTCTTGATTGCATACATCTCCTTAATGGCTTTACAATTAACGGACCCTTCGTTTATTTACTTTTTTTTTTATGCGGCGACTATCATAATTTGTGGACTATACACTATCTGACTAACTCCATTATTTACTTAATTTATTAGTTTTTCATTTTTAATTCTAAAATAATACTTGTTTTATTGATTTCGAAAATGACTTGTCCAAACGTTTAGATACCTCTGCTTGTCTTGTCAATTCCAGTGGGGGCCAAATTTCATTTATTACAGTGTCGGTAAAGCAAATAAATCGACAAAATTGCAAAACGAAGAAAATGCGAATAAAGCAGGAAAAGTGAAAAAGAAAACAAACGTCAAATCGTCATCACACCACTGTGACAGAAATCAATAGAAATATCGAAATTTAGGGTCCGAATGGTAACGGCGGATTTGGTAATATAAGCGGGACGGAATTAAAGTGCGGTACGGTTCAACTGCGGTTCATGCGGTTTGCGGGACAACTGCGGTTTTGATAAAAAAACTAGTGCGGTTTTGATAAGAATAGTAGTGCGGTTTTAGTAAAAAATAATTTAAAATAAATATATTAATATAATTAGAAAATTTTTTTTATTTAGTGATGTATATAATCCTAATAAAAAATTAACTATAATTTTTTAATTTATATAAAATATTTATTAAATTTAAAATATGTGCCATCAATAATTTTTTATATTAATTATATCAAATAAGTTTTGTAATAATTAATTACATTGATACAACTTTTGTTAAATCTATTAAATGAGATTACTGTATATATAAATGTCAGTTTTGTTTAACTAAAAATTATATTTATATGAAATACTTATAAAAATTAATAACTAATATTTATATAACTTAAGTCACCTATAACTTGAGTTTGTCATAAATACATTAATATTTATAAATATGATTAATACATTTGATTTCATCACTTTCATAAGTACTTCAGTTTACAATAGTTATTTAACATCATTACTTACTTAAAACTGATTATATCACATTATTTAATATGTATTACATAAATTCTATAACTACAAATCATATATGTATTGTGTTGCTTGATACGAGAGAAAAAAGTTATCTTTAATTTAAATAATAAATACACATACAATAAATGAAAAGAGTGATACACAGATTATCTCACGTATCCCTAACAAATATATTATGATAAAAAATATTTATTAAAATAAAAAAAGTTCACTATTTACTGTACAAAGGCGTTTTTTGCCGGACCGCGTGGTTTTACATGAGGGTCCAAATTGAAGTGCGTTTTTTAGTTTTCTTTGTATTTAGATGCTTTGGAAACTATGAGCGTATTTTATGTTTTCCTTTGAAAAAAACGCTTTTCTTATACCAAATTCTTGATTGGTGACTGCACTGCGGTTTTCTGAATTCCGCGATCCATAAGTTACCAATCACAACCTTAGTAATGGTTCAAAAGATACTTTAAAATATTTATTAAAGATTTCTTAAATAATAAAAAGAACTCAGTAATGAGAAATAATCTCGATGACAAAAAAAGAGAGAGATATAATCTCAATAATTTTAATGGACTTTAGAGCATTTCCAATATACATATTTTTCTTTTCTTCTAGAATAAAGAAATTTTTTTTTGTCAACAAAATAAAGAACTTAATTATAGTGGTTATTTAATTTAATATATGTCTCTATAATATAATTTTTCTATTTTAGGAGAAATATACAGAAATGCTAGTTTCATCTTTAAATATAGAAGTATAGCATTCCTATATATTTTTTCCAAAAGTAAATTAACTTTATTATAAAAATATAATTGTCGTAAATCGTCACCTATAATAAGATTTTCTCATTTTTAAAAGAATATGGAAAGTAAAATAAAGATGAGTTGGAGATGTCCTATATGGCTTTGTATTTCTTTATATAGTGCCTTCTTCTTCATTAGCTCCCTACACACTTAACAGTTGTTTCCTTCCGATCTACCTCTGAAATTTTCTCTCGCTCTCAAAATGAAGCTTTCAATGCGTTTGATCTCAGCTGTTCTCCTCTTGTTCATGATATTCGTTGCTACAGGTTCATTACTTGCATAATTTAATGTCCCTCTATAAACATATGTATAGAAATATACAATCATTTACAATATGTCAATAACATAACATACTTTCGTATGTATATATGGATCTATATAAATATTCATGTTTCAAGCGATTCCTCTTGTGAATGCTCATAAAAAAGTTGGTTTCGTGTCGCCTATCCTTCCTACACGATTTCAATTATAGTTGTATTCTTTAGAACTCTTTCTTCCATAAACTTTGAAGATGAATTAAAGCATCATGTATGAGAAGTTGAAACTAAGATAATGGTCTGAACAAAGTGTTTGTATTGGTGTTGATTTTGTCTAGGGATGGGTCCAGTAACAGTGGAGGCACGCACATGTGAGTCACAGAGCCATAGGTTCAAGGGTCCATGCGTGAGCGAAACCAACTGCGCAAACGTGTGCCACAACGAAGGTTTTGGCGGAGGCAATTGCCGTGGATTTCGTCGTCGATGCTTCTGCACCAGAAACTGCTGATTCACTGCATCTCATAACTCATCAAAATCATCGATCGTCTTGTGTGTGTTCTCGAATAAGTCTATGGTTTGTGTGTTTTCTGTTCTAATGTAATTTATATTTTAAAGGCCTAAATGGTAACCGGATTCAGTAATATAAGCAAGACTAAATTATTGTGTCAACTGCGATTCATGTTCTTGGAATAAGTAGTTTTGACAAGTTTTTTTTTTTCAACTATGGTAACGACTAATTAGTCTTATCACATCATTAGAATAAATTTTCTATATAAATATTTACTAGGTGTTTTGTCCGCATTTGCGGCTTAATAATTTCCTAATATCTATATTCAAATATAATCAGTTTATGTAAATTATAATAAATTATTGTTCATACACTCAAAATATTTAATAATAATCTAAACAAATTCTTTCTATAATAAATTTTTTCATCATCATATAAATATTTGTCATACACAAATTAAATGTGAAAATATTCATAAATTTAAAATATTTAGTAATAAATTAATATCATTTTTAGACATAACAAAAAAATATAATAAAATTATCTTTAGTAATGTAAACTATCTATACATAAATTCTTTGCGAATTATTTTTTCATAACTAAATATATATTAACAAATATAATTATTTTTCAAGGTTAATACAGACTTATAACAGATTTATAAAAAATTAGATAATGATAATTATCAAATTCATGAAATTCGTTTTTAATTATAATTAATTATATATTAACAAATATAATTATTTTAAATATAATTATTTTTAATGTTGATAAAGACATAATATAAAAAATTAAATAAGTATGATTATCAAATAAATGAAATTCGTTTTTAATTTATAATTAATGATACATTACTAAAAATATAATTATATTTCAAGGTTAATAAAGATTTTATAACCCAATATAAAATAGTTTTAGATAAAGATAAATCTAAAATCATTGAAATTCGTTTTTTACTTATGTTTAATTATATAATTATTATATAGTAATAAATCTTTTTTTGGTCAAATGGTAATAACTATTAGTCATTATATAGTAATAAATCTACTTAGTCATTAAGTTTATGTTTGCTTTGTCATTAAAGGTAGTAAAAATCATAAGAACATGACAATTAGATTTACTATCCTTAATGGCGAATCAAACATAAACTTATTGACTAATTAGATTTATTACTATATAATTAATAATTCAATTTATTATAATCATTAGTCTAGATAATGATAATCATCAAATCATAAGAAACATGACAAATAAGATTTGTTTCTAATTATTATATAGTAATAGATCTAATTAGTCATTATATAGTAATAAATCTAATTAGTCATTAAGTTTATGTTTCCTTGTCATTAAGGGTAGTAAATCTAATTAATATACGGTTCATAATTATATAAGAATAATTTTATTTAGTCATTAATTAAGGATAATAATTAATCATTAATCAAAATGATAAAAACATGATAAAAAAATTATAATTACATAAAATCATGGAGAATATGATAAATAAGAAAATTCACCTTTTTAAATATAATTAATTTATTGTTATTTATATATTAATTCAGTTTTAGTTTATGGTTTATTAATATCAACTATTTTTAGATAATAATAGTCATCAAATCAGTGAAATTTGTTTCTAATTTATGATTGATTATAAGTTAATTAAATATATTTTCTGATAACAACACAATAAATATAGGAATTATCTTTTTATTTTATTTTATTATTAAATATTTTTTTTAAATTATGGATAATTCTTATCATTATTATTAATTTAAATCATTTATCTAATCAAATAAATATAAACTCGTTTTTTTTAATTTTGGCTGATTTATATATTTTATCCATTAAGGGTATAAACAATATTAATCACTATAATTTTTAACGTGGAAGCTCCGTTGCGAAAAATCACTTTGAAAATTTAAGTGAATTATCTGATTTGTAATTTCTCCATAATTTAGATAATTTTGATTATTTGTCATATTTGTAATAATTTCATATAAAATTTATTATAAAATAAAAACGAATTTATATTAATAATTTTATATTTTTCTAAAATAAGATAATTCTTATGTATTATGTTGTTATGTTGGAAATATATTTCCTATTATAAAACTTGATATTAAGATATAAAAATTATACAATTAATAATTAAATATAAATCATCAAAGCAATTATTTGAAAAGTGAATTTGTTGATTTTTCTTAATGTTCCTAGATAATTTTGATCATTTATCATAATTACTCTAATTTTTTTATTATTGATTATATAATTAAAACTAATTTATATTAACAATATGATATTTTAGAAAATAAGTTAATTCTTATTTATTATGCTCTTATCTCGAAAATAAATTTTTCTATTATAAAATTTAAAATTAACATGTCAAAAAAATCTATACAATTATTTAGAAAATAAATTTAATGCTTGTTGATTTGTCATATTTTCCATGATTTTAGGGAATTTTTGATATTTTATCCTAATTTCTCTAATTTTATATATAATTTATTATATTTTTAAAACAAATTTATATTAATAGCATCATATTCTTAGAAAATAAGATATTTCTTATGTATTAAGTTGTTCTTTTGAAAATATATTTTTCTATTAGAAATTTAAAATTAAGATATAAAAAGTTGTAGTTATTTTATAATTGATTAAATTTACATTAATAATACATAATAATTAACTTATTTTATAAAATATCATATTATTAATACAAATTAGTTTTAATTATATAATCAATAATAAACAAAATTATATAAATTCTGATAAATGATCAAAATTACCTAGGATCATGGAGACAAATCTCAAATTCACTTTCAAATAATTTTTTTGATTATTTATATTTAATTATTAATAATATAATTTTTATATCTTAATTTTAAGTTTTATAATAGGAAAATATATTTTCAACATAATACATAATAATTATCTTATTTTAGAAAATATCAAATTATCAACATAAATTCGGTTTATTTATATTTAAATATTCAATTATTAATAGAAATTCGTTTAAGATAAGTATAAAAGTCTTTATATCTTAATTTAAAATTTCAGTTTTATAAATAAAAATATATTTCAAGATAATAACATAATTCAATAACAACATAATTCACAATTCACAAGAATTATCTTATTTTCTAAAAATATGATATATTCTTATAATTTTTTTTATTTATATATAAAATATATAGAAATATTAAAAATTTGATAAATAAACAAAATTACCTAAACTTATTGAGAACATGACAACTAAGCAAATTTATAGAAAATAAGATAATTCATATAAATTCGTTTTATTTATAAATAATATATATATATATATATATAAATATTAAAAATATGATAAATAAATAAATTACCTAAATTTATGGAGAACATGACAACTAAGCAAATTTACTTCTTAAATAATAGTATAGATTTTTGGTATCAAATTATACATATATTAATAGCTAATATCTCATATCACCATTAAAATAAATTATATACATCACAGTAATAAAAACTCAACTAAATACAATTACAGCTATTTCTTACATCAAGCTATATATCATATCTTGTATATATATATATTATCAAAATAAATTGTACATGTAAATTAATTAACAAATACAAAACTAAAGCAATATTAATCAAAAAAACAATTTGTTGATAGTTAAATCATCAAATTTTATATTTGTTCACCAGTTTAATTAACATATTGATTTTTATTTGTTTAAGCATTTTTTTGACTAAACTAAGAAAATCCAAAACATATTATAATTTAAAAACGTATTTAAAACTAAGGAATAAAAGAAATATTTAAATAAATATGATTATCTACAATATAATATAAATACAAAAGTATCATTATAAAATGTAATTTTAACTTTTTTGAAATTTAAACAAAATCAAATCTAAGATTTAAATCAAATTAAAAAGGTATTTTTTTCCAAACCGGTAAATCTCAGAGACATTAATTTTCAAAGTGATTTGTATATAGAGATTTAGCGTAATACCCAGAATCCAAGTTTAAATTTGAGGTTTACCCAGTGATAGACATTATTAGCTCAAACAATACAATTACATTTGAAATATCTAAAATTGCCCTTCTCCACCTGACACATTTTCTGATGGTTACAGAGAAGTGTCAGAAGAGAGAGTGTCCACATGTTTGCTTGATTTTTTTAATGTTAAAAATATTATCAAATAATAATATTTTTGAATATATAATAGAAAAATATTATAATAGATACAATAATTAACATTTGATATAATTGAAAACATAAATTACAATTGATTGCAAGATTTCAACATCTCTAAAGTCTATAATTTATTATAAATTCGATATTAGTGTTATATTAATTCTTAGCGGTTAATATAAAATTGTTAAGTACTAGGCCATATTGATAACTTTTTTAACTTGTTTAATTCACATTGGATTTTAATGATATCATCGGGATGTTACCATTCACATTTTCAATAGAGAATAAAGAATTGTATTTCTGAAATGATATGATCAAATAACATTTGAGATACGCGCTTGGACGGAATGAAAATTATTTATGTTTTGCTACAAAAGATAATTAATTATGTATACAAATTATTTATACATATAATTATTTTTTTGTTCATTTATGTATTATGCCATAAAAATATAATAAATAATTGAGAATTAAGTAACTATTATGTATACAATTAAATTGGAGTAAGCACATAAAGAAAAATAATTTTTTTTTTTACATTTATTTATTGGTAAAAAAGCAAAAGAATCATTTATTTATTTTATACGGCATATAAAAAATTAAATAATATTGAAATAGATATGTAGTATATTTTAATAGGAATATTTATTATTGAGGTTGCGTACAGCGTACTCCTAGATTTTATTAACATTTTTATATTTGCTGGAGTTTTTTTTTATTAATATGAAATTAATATTTTATGTATTTTATATATGCTATTTATTTTATTGAAATATATATATATATATATATATGTAATTTGATTATATATTAAATGAGACTTCATATTTATATGATTTTATACTTGTTTGTATTTTATTATAACAAAAACTTAAACCCTTGATCACAAAGTTTTCATTGTGAGATTTTAATAGTTTTAGTAATTTATACTCATTTAAAAAATTCAAAATATAACATATAAAAAATCTAAATTTTAATTATATGATTAATGTGATTGTTTAATTTTTAAGAATATAAATTTAAATAAAAATGATAGAGGATACAAAAATTGTTATCAAATATTTATTATTCAAAATCGTTAATTATCATATATATGTCAACCATATTAAGTAATTTCGTAACTTGTATTTAAGGAAAAAATATATAATATTTTTTTGTACACTACTAACTAATTTGATAGTTTAATAAAATCTATAAGATATATTTAGATGAACCACTCATTTTTCTAAAGATTCTAAGAATTATTATGGTGATGACACGTGACTACTAAAACATATCGTAATATTTTTCAATTAATATATAGGAAATTTTAAATGATTTCAAATGACTTTGCATAAATTCCATGTTCAATAACACTCTTTTAGAAAACTTTTTCAAATTCTTAGTTGAATAACGGAAAATTTTAATAAAAACTCAAAATCCCGTAAAATCATTGAATCAATACACCCCCTTGAATGAATACACCCCCTTAGACCATAATTATCGGCGGTTCTTAATGACATCCCTTAGTAAAAAGCACCAAAAAATAAATCAAAATTAAAAAAAAATGAAGGAGACGTTTGTTAATTAAGGGACAAAAATAACGTTTCTTATGGACAGGTGTAGGCACGTGAAGGAGAGAGAAGAGGTGGCTTCATCTTTCGTCGTCTGATTCTTCTTTTGGTTCTCTTCTGTTTGCTCCATGAGTGTTTTAGGATTTTTGAAATTCTCTGTTTGCAGATGACGTTCTCATCTGTTCATTCTTACCCTCTCCCATTATTTCTCAACCAATTGTTTTCTTCTTTTTCTTCCTTCTCTCTCGTTATTCTTGCACCTGTTACCTCCCCTTGAACATGGCTTCTCTATGTTTTTGGGGAATTTGAATATTCTTATCTGATATGATTGCCTTAGGTTGCATAATAGTTTAGGATTGATTAAATTAATTAGTTAGATTGATTGATTGCTATTAGATTCTCTGATTGCTTCTTTCGTTTCTCTGTTTTAGGATTTTTGAAATTCTTTTGTTTTGTTCTAGGATTGATTGCTTAGGTTGGTCTTAATCTTTTCTCGCTTTCTCCTTCTCTTCTGACAGACAAGGTTTAAGGATTCCGAAAAAGGTCGAAACTTTAGCGAATGATCATCCTTTTCATCTCTGAAACTTGTCTATGATGGCGGACGTAACTGTGAGGGTTCGTCTGGTGTTTCAGATGGATGAGTTCGTTTTACCGCCGTTTGAGTCGAGCTGTGTGTTAAAGGATAAAGACATTGTTTGGTTAGTTTTCACACCATGTTAGGTCTTGTAATGAATTTTTACTTGGGGTCTTTTATTGAGTGTTAGTGATTAAAAGATTTCGTTTTTG